TAAACTGAAGACAATATCGAGCTAATGGCTGCGAACTTCTAATCTATTTCATAAAACCACGTTCTATATTACATCGAACTAGGATTATTTTAGAAATCGATATGAAATTCAAAGTGTAAAAATGTCTAGTACTTTAAATGTTTTAGAAAATTATTAGAGATAAAGATGTATGGAACTACTGAAAATTACTTTAAATTCCTTTTTCTTATTCTGTAAATTCATTGATTGGAATATGAATGCTGCTGGAAGTATGATATAAATGGAAATGATATAAATGGAACTTTAAAACTTGTTACCCAAAAAATGCAAGGTTTCCTATCGACTCGATTTTTAAAAGGTTTCGCATGGAGTTCCTCTTTTGTTAAGCTCATAAAATAAAGCTTAAAGAACATAGTTAATATCACCACGGACTTACGCAGTTTAAAGGTATCTTTGATGCTCGTGAACAGAGGACAAAACTGTTTCGCAAATACAACTCAGGAAAAGAAACGAACGACTTAGCGAATAACTTTAGATTTATTTATTTACTCAAATGGAAGGCAATCGATAAATTTGCAACAAATAAAAATAAATAACACTCTCTCTAGCAATAATTACGTGATCGTTACTTAAACGTAGATATCATTACAATAAATTCATAGTTACTTAACAAAACTTATACCATTTCTTTCTTCGCATGCTCATACAAAATATGTTCGTGCGATTGTGTGTGTGTTTGTGTCTGTATATGCGTGTACGTATATGCGTGTGTGTGTGTGTGTGTGTGTGTGTAATGCGTGCGTACGAGCACGAGCAATCGTACGTTACGTTTTGTTTCATTTTTTTTGCTTTTGTAAACTTTTGTCGTTTTTCAGCGCAGTTGCGCGATAGCACGTTTATACACGGTACATCACTCGCAAAACTATACACGGACGATATGCTCACGTCCCAAAAAAATGTAAAATTTTATCTAATCCGCTCCACTCGTACTTTCTACTTCGTCTTCTTCGCATTTTTTATTTTCCTCTGTTGTTTATATTTTCGTCGCGCGCGCGCAACCCATCGACACACTCTCGCAAACACGCATCGATTATACAAACGAAAAAGGAAAAAAAAAAAGAAGACACTTTCACGCGTCTCACGACACAGAGACACTACCAGATTCGCACAGCCTGACAAATCAATCGATCGATCATCGACAGATATCATGATTCGAAGTGAAACGAAATAATCGCGGATTCGCAATGACAAGCAATGATATTTGCTGCGACACGTTAAAAAGAGAGACAAAGAAGAAAAATTTGGGGGATCGTGTGCTGTCCAACGGGCGAAGTGTTCGCCTACGATTACAAAATAATCGGAGCATATTTAATTGATCGTTCAGGGATGTATTCAATGGTCGTATCGTTACCGTATCGATTAGCTAATGGTAGCAACTGGAGTAACACCGTGAACGATCGACTAACTTCACGCCGACTACAAAGTCAGTGCATTTCATGAATGTAGCCTCTTGGGCTACTTTATTCTCCTTCGTGTGTCATTGTACATTTCTATGAGGTGGGAAGGTGTACATACGAAAACATCAAATGGTCTCCATTCGCATAGCAATGGATACGATTCAAGAGGAAAATTCATGGAAAACACCGCTTCGTGTAAATCAGTACAAGCAAGTTCGCACCACTCGACGACGTATCGTCAGCACTATCCTCGGCCCTAGTTCACGTATAATACAATTATTATTTTACAACACGTTAAAAATTCTTATTGTCATGGCAACGGGCGCTACGTTTCGTACGACGAAGCGATACGCGGTGGCAAGGGGGTATTTTCATTTTTTGGCACGATTTCTCAACCCCGATCCACGCACCATGTTCCCTCCTTTTTCATCCCGCGCGAAAGCGCCGCGGTTTCTCTCTCTCTTTCGGTTCCCTACTGGCGCACGATTAGAGGACTTAAATGCAGAGTTAGTAGCGTGGTTACGAAGCGACTTTTTGCAATCTGAAGGGAACTGGCCTCGATCTAAATGCACGGGTTTCGAATTGGTCTCGACCAATGGGTGCGTAGCAACTACAACGTGTCTCAAGCTTTGCACGGATTGCGCTTTGATTTTCATTTGTGTACAATATTCTCTTGTTGTACGTTATCCATTCTGTCGACTTTGGGTGCCTGTCTTTGATACTACCTACTTCTCCTCGAACGGAGGGGACAGCTTTGAACAATATATGAAGGAAATATACAACCAGAGAACATTGCACGTTATTCTTACTCACGTTTCCTGAGAAATATACAATGTTCAGTGTCTACTGATTCAATAGAGAAAAGATCATTTCTCGTCCTCTGCCAATTGCATCAATATATGCATTGAAACACTTTCTACTCGATTGTGAAGTATATAAAGCTTTAGAGGAAGCGATGATCTAAGCTTTACAATTCAGGTGTAACGAACAGTAAGCACGTTAATTGAGACGTTTTTTTGGGATTAATCTCTAACAGGAAAACAAACTGGAAACGGGGAGGGTTAGGTTTGGTTTTGGTTCCTTGGCTGCGTCTAACGAGGAACATGGTGTTTTGAGGCCCACGGGATGTTTCTGTGTTGCGCGTGAACGTCTGGAATGTTGCATACTAATTTGCTGCTTCATCTTTGTGCGATGTAGGGTGACCGATGGATGGTACGACCTCGCTTGCCAACGTGACACTTTTGTGATCGCGAGAACAGGGGGTTCACACACCTAACCTATACGAATCGACGAAGCACACCTTGCACCGAGGAAAGTCGTGTCGCTCGAGTTATTCGTCGTTAAAGGAGAAATTATCCGATCCTGCGTGATTACTAAATCCAAAGAATTTTCCGAAAGTCTCGACAGGCAAGGGTGTCTCGTGGATTCGACAACGGAGGACAAATTTACAGATTCTAGTTAAGGGGATTCGATTAGCACCATCGCTGATCACACGTACGCTGATACCGTTTCCACGCACTCACAAACATTTTCACGGATAACACTGTACGCGCATTCACCACTTTCTCTCATTATTACCGACTTAGGCAGTGCGATCCTTTATCGTTACGTCGAACGTTACGAAGCCACTTGGTTCTGCGGGAAATGTCTCAGGAAACGTGCGTCCTCATCTGCCCACCCCAACGGCATGTTTCATATTCAAGATTGTATGTTTGATAGAATCTATTTTCGTTTCTCGATACCGATCCTTTGGTACGAACGGCAGAACCACACATTTTGGAAAAGGAAACAATTGAAAATTTAAGAAACCATCGAACAGTGAAAATCAAAAGAGTTGAGAAACAGGCGAAAGAAAGTTCATGTCGTGTTTTTGGTGAAGATTTCTGTTCGGTCAACGTCGATTTCGTTCTAAGCCATATTTCCAGTTAAAATAATTACTAATGGGTAACGGGGTCTGATCGGAACCGAGGTCACACGCGTAAGATTCTGAGACGAGTCCCTCGAACGCTTCTGTTTAAAACAGACGCGTTAAAAAGCGCGCTCTCGCGCGTAGCTTCGATCTCTTGCTCGTGCTCGAGTTTGGAAATCATGGAATGTCACAAAAAAATCAACAAAACGAAATGATTCATTAAGGGGGGGAGGGGGCGGGGGATAATAAGAAGAAACGGGAGAACCGCACGATACCCTGACATCGGTACACCATATTGTCTGCACCCATTCCGAAGTTTCTATGCGATTACTGAGATATTAAAGATAATGTAATAATGTAACCTCTAACATCACATGCTCTTTCTTAGAAAATTATATAGCTGTGCGGGAAAGCCGTTCCGAACACTCTTGCACCGTTTCCACGTGCTTTCTCTCTCTATCGAGTCGTTTCTATTTCTCGGCTTCCAAACGGAGCGTATATTATTTGTATTTTATATACACATATATGTGTGTGTGTATATATATATATATATATATATAAATATACGTATGTATATGTACGTACACACACGTGTACACATACATACATACATACATACCATGAAATCGTTACATTTTATATTAGATTCTCGTAAATGTAAATAATTATCCGATTATATTATTACGATGTAGTAATGGTTCGTTCGTTTGTTTTGGGGGAGTGGGAGTTAGGGGAGCAGGAGGAAGGGCTGGTTGGTCAGGTGGTTGGGGGAAGCATACGAGGAAAAACATATACGCAGCTTTCCCGATGGTTTCCGGTTTAACACACACGCTATTCGCAGTTATTAAAACACAAGCAACACACGACTGTAGACTGTGGATAGTAAAAACTAGCTAAAAACGCTCGCAAGAAGATTCTTTGGAGAATTTTGAAGACATCGTCGTTGTCGCCCTGTTATGGTCTCGTCGAACGATCGATATTGCGAGGCGCAGTGGTCGTATCATCCCAGTGTGGACCAATGTGATCCACGGAAAAAAAAAAACGATCTTGCGCGATCGACTTCGCGGAAACGAAAGAGCTCCCCGTGCATTGGTTCTAATTTCTACTGACCGAGGAAGACCGAAGTATATTCGTGCACTCGTGACAATTATGCTCTAGAAAAACCGTTTTCAGAGACGATCGCCTCTCGCGGTCGGTTTCACGCGCGTCCACGGGTTCTCCGTGCAACGGCAAAAACCCGTTCGCCGCGGTTGTGCACCGTCCAATTTGGACGCGGTTTTAAATTACTCACCTAACATCTCGCTCGTGAAAATTGTACAGCTATCATTTACTCCTAATTTTCGTGTGAAAGTCCTCCGTTCGATTTTGTTCGGGAAGCGTAACAAGTTCTTGCGTGATAAGTACATACGCTCAGCGTTCACGTTGGGATTCGCCACAGTTCGTGTACGAATATGTATGTATACATATACATATATATATATATATATATATATATATATATATATATATATGTATATCCCAGAGGCAAGTATCTGCTGCGAAACGAATTGTAAAAAATGCACCAAACAGTCACAGACATGATTCACAACACGCGTGTAGTAGCACTTGTGTGGCTCCAGTTCGTCTCTGTCGAGTAAAACCCCGTCGTTTGGTCGGTTAAGTACACAAGGCCGAGCTCCGAGGCTGAATCCCGGGCTAGGTCGCGAAGTCGACTTTGTCCCACGTCAACGACAGATCGGAGGACATCTTGAAGTCGGTGTCCTCCATGTTGAAGAGATCGAACGGGTCTTGGCTGCTGGCCAGCAACGGATCGTAGATATCCGTTCCGGACGACAGACTCATCGATGAGGCTGGCTGATGATTCGACATCGTCGTGGAACCCGACGGAGGTGACTGAGGCATCAGAGAATCCAACCAGTCCGAGTCGTCCATGTCCATGGGCATGTCTCCGATGTCCATCAACTCCTGGGGTGCCTCCATCTTAACGCCTAGATCGCATTCTAGCTGACCGAAGTCCATGGTGTCCAGGGTCTCTAGGTCTAGTCCAAGTTCCTGACAAAAAAAAAAAAAGGAAATAGTATGTACTAACACTATAACCTTCGACTTACCCTGAATAAGATTTATTTCAGCTTCTTGGCTCACCTTAAGATCTAAGTTCGCGTTATCCGAAGACGTGACCTCCTGCGGCGGTTGAGGATCCGGCGATGCTTGTTGGGTAGACTGCGGGCTGAGAAGCATCGCGGTGTCCAGTTCAGCCTCCGAGGTCAACAGGTCCGTATTGAACGACGTCATTTCCTCTTGCTGCTGTAACTGTTGCAATGCACTGGGCAGTTGAATGGAGAACGTCGCCAAAGGCAACGGGGGCGGTGGCGGCGGTGCCGGTGCCGGAGAACTCACGCAATCACTTTGGGAGACCTCCATCGCTATCGGGCTGATCGGGCTGATCGGGCTGGCGGCGGCGAATACCAACGAGTGTGACTGGCTGTCCGCCGGCGCCGTGAACACCAGATTCTGCTGGAGCTGCCTGTTCGGGGTGGTCGGAGTCGCTGGATCCTGAGCGGCGCTCGGAGGTAGCTCGCCGTTCTTTATGAGGATCTCCAGCACGTCATCCACGACTTGGCTTTTGATGTGGTTCTTCTGTACTGGCTCGATTTTTACCTGAACACGTGGACACGTTTAATTGATACTTTGAAATTTATGAACGAGAACCACTAATAACTAGCAAATGCTATTACTTTCTTTAATATATCAGAAGACAAGACTATCAGTACCTTCAGAAGTTTCGCAGCTTCGTCATACTGAGGAGGTGGAGGCTTTCCTTCCTCGGACACAACAGTCTGTTGCTGCTGTTGTTGTTGCTGTTGTTGTTGCTGCTGCTGCTGAGCTTGCGCCTGGGCCACCAGAGCACCAAGCAGGGAACCATTTAATTTCGCAGGTTTAGCAAGGTTCAGAACGATCGCGGTGGGGATTTGGACGGTAGCGCTGTTCTTGGCTTGATTCTTCTTGTTGTTGATCGCGGTCAAAGTCGAGGAATCCAATATCGCGGCAGTGTTGTTCGGCTGCGCCTGTAAGTATGCCGCGAGACTCGCCTTCGCGTTCAGCTGTTGGAACGCCGCGTGCTGTTGCTGCGACTGCTGTTGAGATTGCTGCTGATTCTGCTGTTGCTGCTGTTGTTGCTGCTGCTGTTGTTGTTGCTGTTGCAAGTGCTGCAGATGTTGGAGATGCAATGCCAGTTGTTGTTGCTGCATCTTGTTCTGTATGTGTTGTTGGAGCACCAGTTTCTCGGCGTGAACGGTGGTCGGTTGAGTCTGACGGATCTGTTGAAGTTGCTGCTGGGACTTGTACAGCTCGCGTTGCAGCTCCTCTATCCGTTTTCTCTGCTCTTTGATTATGTCGTCGCCTGAAACACGGGCTGCAGCGTTAAAACACCGACGTCTGTTGCGTTCCAGAATGGTTTTCTCGAGATTTTCGGATATTGTCGTAAGTATAACTATAACTTATTTCTTAATGGAAGATCGATTCTGGTTACTTCAAAGATGGTGAATCGAATTACAAATCGCTTACGAAAATTTTCAAGTGACATGAAAAGAAAAGGGTACCTGGCGGGCTCGACGGATCGTCGTGTTCGCTGCCATGCGGAGAATCTATCCGTGGACTGTTCGGCTCGTCTTTAATGGCCGAGCCGGGACTCTTGGCATGGGAGCTAGAATCGTCCGATGTCACTGGCCCTGGGGTGTCCATCAATATGTGGCCCATGTGCGTCACGTGCGGTCCATTCGAGCTAGACGTCGAGTTACCGCTAGATAATTCCGTGAACGGTTTTAATCTCTCGATCAGTTGTGGCTTCGAGCCAGACACCGGCAAGTTTCGGCGCTTCAGTTCCACTTTGAGATCGCTTACTGAAACGGGCAGAATTTATCCCGGTCAATATCCCCAGCCACTGTTCACATGCTTATTTATGGGAATAGGTTTCGTTAGACGACACGAACTCGTAAATGTGTAAAATAAATAAGGACTTGCTAATGAAGTTGAACCGGGACATAGGGATGTTACCTTTCATCTCCTCCAGCTTGCCCAAAGGCCTCAACGGCGGCTGTTCCGAGGGGTTGTTCGAGGAATTCGAGGGCGCTGGGCTGGGAGCGTTCGCGCTACTTCCGCTGATGCTTCCAGCATCGCTGGCGCCGCTACTGTTCAAAGACAACGGTTTCTGGGCCGCTGGTAGGATGATCTGAGGATACTGCACGACAAAAACTTTTGTTACGCAACGATCGAGCACACCATCGCGACACTAGACACATTGACCGCCGCGTAACAGACGACTTTCGATTGAGTAACCTCCCCGAGAAACGCGATCTTCGATTATAAATCCGAACGGGATCGAGTAATTGCTATGCAAATTGCCGGGAGAAAGTCTACCCGCGTTTAACGAGACGTATCCGTATGAGAGATTCGAGTGTTGCTAACGACCCGATGAAAGCGGAGGCGACCACGGGACATTTCTATTTGCCTAACGTTCCGTTTTGCACGTAACGGCACGTAACAAAGTCGAGAGGCTCGAGCAAGCCGAGCGCGTTTTACCTTGTGCTGCCATTCGAGCTGCCACTGGAGGAAGAGCTGCTGCTGTTGGAGGAGTAGCTCGTAGCTGGTCTCGCCAGGCGGCGCCGAGCCGAGACCGGAAGTCGTCGACGACACCGATGTCTTCTGCGCGTTTGGCGGGCCCTGGTGACAGACATTGTTCGACGTTAATCAGGATTAATCGGTCCTAATTAGGGACTGGGGGCTTGGCATCCTGTGCTTCGGCACTGAGTATAAGCGAAGACACGGAGAAGAAGTATCGAGCAAAGAACTGAAAGTGGATCCATTAGGCCTAGTAGGAAATAGCTACAGATGAGACTCGATTAGAAAACGAACTTTCAACTATATTATCCGTCGGATTGTACCATCTAGTAGAGGATACTAAGACGTGTACAATGACCTATTTACGAAGACATGTAAAAGGTTGTCTTTCTATTTAACACTAGGTTTACGGGACGCGTCATTTTGACGCATTTCGAATGCTTTCTAACCTCGAAATTCTCTATGTGGTATACCTATCTCTATAGCTATGCATTAATTTCAGAGATCATAAATTGTGTATTATATAAAGTAAGTTGTTTTTCAAAGAAAATCTGCGGGTTCGTTGATGCGTGCCGTGGAGATACCTACACGATAAGTGCCCGTAAACCTAGTGTTAAAAAACAAAGTTGACCCCTACACGTTCACCTATCAAAAAACCTTTTACATCGAATTATGTGCTTCTCGATACCACGGAAATTTGGTCTGACACATTTTTTTGCATCACCAGTAGCAGCCAAGACATTCAGGTGGCCTGTTTTAGGCGCCCCGAAGTGTCATAAGCAACACATTATCTAGACCCGCAAGTACCCATCGTACAATCACCATTATAATACTACAAGATCCAGCGTAGAATACAACAGATCGCAAGAATCCCCTAAGCTTCGCAGCTACCACTCAGTCAACCCGTATCCTTAAAACGTCGGACGCGCCACCAAGGTGGGGCACAAATTACCGCGGGTAATTACCTCCAGCGTTCAGTTCGTTCCACGAAGAAGAAAAATTCCGGGTATGCCACGTTGGGTAACGTTTCAGAGCAAAAAACTAAGGCGAAAATCGCGTCGGTGGGAAGAAGAAGAGAGGTCCACGATGTAGGAGAGAGGCCCCGAGGGCAACGAGTGATAAATGATACATCAAGATGTTTTCTTGCGCCCTCATTTGCACGCCCATTCCCGGGGCTCGCTTTCACGCCGAGCCACGCCATATCCCGAATGTTTCGGGAGCGTGGCCCGGGTTCCGCTGGCACCTATCGCGGGTGCTTTAATGCCTCCGCCACCTCCCTTTTGGACCCCCGTTCTCTCGGACCCCGTTTGGATCCGCTCTTCTCCCATCCGCCCGCTCCCTGGCTTCCTCGCTCTTAGGTGCAATTAGCGCTCGAATTACTCAGAGCTAACGAGGTGGGCCCCCGGGCCCTTCGAGAGATCGCGAGAGTTAATCACCCGATACGATCTCCTTCTGCGCTTCTTTCTCCCTTCGACAGAAACTGAGAGAGAAAGAAAGGTGGACGGACGAAGGGGAATCGCTTCTTTCGCGGGCTACCGGAGCCGAGATTTACCGGCCGTGCCCGTTTTTTCTTTTACTCTTGCTTCTTTCTGCGCTTCCCTCTTTCTCCGGCCCCTTTTCCCCCCTCAGCCCTTCGCAAGCGCTTTCTTTTCTCCTCTTTGCTCCCTCCAGGTTTTTTCTCTTCGACTTTCTTATTCCACCTTGTCCCTTCTTTGTCCCTGCTCCCTTCTGCCTTTCTGGTTGTCATTTTTTTTTCTCCGTTTTCTTTTATGCAAGGTCCTTGTTTTTGCCCCTCTTCTCTGGATGTATTTGTATACTATATACCTACGTCTTTGTAAATTTGCGTCGTCTTGATAGGATATACATGGTCATTATAGTACCGCGTCATGGGCTGTTTTTGTTTCGAAATTTATTTCCGATAAAAGTACTTCGCCAGGGAGACGTCGTAAAATTGGATGTGTATGTTTCCGTGCGGGAGCACGGGCGCTCATTCCTCCAGCAATCTAATTGCACCTCGCGCGCGTAAAGAACGCTCATGCCTGCCCACAAGCTTGAACGGAATCAAGAGTGAAAGCAGTTAACGTAACATTGACTCTTACTCGGACAGGAATGCGTCTCCTTCTCTGGTTACGTCAATGCAGGGATATTGAAACGAACTCAACGTACAAAGGGTCGACTCGTAGAAGGATGTATATAGTGGATAAGAATTCAACAGTATGTAGGAGCGTTGGAAAAATGAGACGAGCCCAAGCGGGATTCGAACTCACGACCCCTGGCGCCGAAAGCAGAGATTCTACCCACTGTTCCACGAAACCCTCCTATTTTCCAACGATGTTATTTGCTCCTTTGTTGGGTATGGAGTTCCCGATCCCACATGTAGGTGTTTGGGCAGTTCAAGCTGTCGTATCTATCGAGCACAGAAGGCTCAATAATTCCTGTTCGAGTTACAGAACGTTCGAACTACAGTAAACTATCGATGAGTGCTCGAAGGCTCCTCGGCACTGATAGAGATACGTCACCAATGTAACACTGACTCTTTAATGAGGTTCAGCAAAGTAATAGAGCTTGGAATTCTGAAGCTTCTATTTACGTTTAATACTTATATATTACTTTCCATTTGCATTCTGTTTATTCCGTTCGATTCCATTTATGAAATATTTAATGTTCAGTGCCAGTTCCTCCGAACACTCATCGATGATTTACTGTAAACGTCAAGCCTCGTTTCCACAAACGTAACATGGAGTTTCATAGTAATCATTGTCTCTATCAAAGATCCAAGGAGATTCTGAACCTAACGACTGCTCATAGCTACCATTGCTTTCATCAATACCAATTCAAACTATTATCCACAAACGACACGAGAAATTTCGAACGAATTCACCCACATCTCCACACAGACAATCGCTGCATCGAGTGTCTAATCACTCTAATGTGTATAATGATAGAAACAACACTAACCTTGTACTCGTGAAACTTGATGGTGCGGGTTTTCGGTTGGCTCTTGGTCTTCGACTTCTTCCTGTTCTTATCCTTCCCGGGCGCGTCGCTCCTCTGACACGTGGACGCGGCGATCGGGCTCGGTTGGGGTCTCGGGGTGATGGCGGCCGGCGGTGGTGCCGGGGGCGACGCTATCGAGATATTCGAAAGGGGACTCAGGCTGGACGTCGTCGAGCCCAAGGACATCGGACTGGGCGCCGGCGCCAGTGGAAGGAGGGTCGTCGATGGACCGTTCGTCTGACTCGCCTGTTAACAGAGATCGTTTGGCGGTTTTTCTTTTGTCCATCGGGGAATCCTCGATTAATCGGCCCACATCGTCGGTCACCAATTTATGACCGGTACTTAACGTCCGACGGTAAATCTATTTCTGCGTCGATCCCGACGAGCTTTTTTTCCCCTTCCTTCCCGACCCATCGATTGTACAAAGCCCCCTAAAAATTCCCTCGCTATTATCTCTTAAATACTTCTCTCTTTTTTACCCAGGGATCGCGTATATCATATATTCCCAAAGGGGGGCGCTGCCCTCTACCGGTGGAAGATCTGGAGGTACGTTCTAGGTATTTTGTTTTCTTTAGTTTTAATTCAACTTTTCATAATTCAAAGATCACCCAAACGATTATGCTTGGAAGTTTTGATAATAGAGATAGTTTACCCAAAGGGGACACGCTGAACGGAAAGAACTTTGAAAAGGGAACGGTGAGTCGGAAAAGTTTGGGATGCTATTGGGTTCCTAGTGGTTTACCTGCGTCGAAGCATGCTGTTGACTGTGCTGCTGAGCCTGTTGTTGTTGGGATTGTTGATGCTGTTGCGGCGGCTGCTGCGTACCGACCACGGTATTGCAGAGCTCAGCGAACGTTTGTATCGTCGGCTCGTTCGCCGCCTGCTGGAAGACCGGTGATGTGGAGGAGACGACCACGGCACCGCCGGTCGTCGGAATACTAAGCGAAACGGTAACGATCCCCGCGGAGGCGGCCGCCGTTTCGAGAACGTCCGATCGGGACTCCAGCTGCGGCGACGGCGCGCCCTCGGAGCTTTGGGAATCGTCCTCGAAGGTGATGTAGTGGTCCGGGTGCTGGGGTTTCATTACTTGGCCCTCGCAGGTGGCCTTGAAGGGAATGTGGCCCTCTGTGAACGGAATAATAGAAGCACGTTTGAATAACTGAACTACTCGCTTATAGAGGGCAAAGTAATGGACGATATTTTGGATATTGATACTTTTCGATTCAAATATCGATATTGAATGATTTATTTTAATTATTGATTTAATTTTAAGTATTGATACCGACAATATTCTCGATGGAAATATCGATACAATTCAAATGTATCGCCGTCAGTAGGGCAGAGGGACAGTGTTAACTCTCTATAACCCCGTGTGATTTTAAAATCACATATCAATATATCAACATTTTTTTGGTCTAATTTTAGTTTTTGCCACTATGTGAATACACATCGTGTTTTATAACATCTCTTTGGCAACCGATAAGACTCCTTGTAGCGATTGTCAATCCTAACTTGAGAATCAGGAGTAATAATGAAATCTTTGAAAATTGTAAATTCATTGTTAATTTGTATTTGGAGAAAAAATGTGGACTATAGAGGGTTAAAAGAATCGATTTTCTTCACCCGACTGGAACGTTGCTACCCTTCAGGCGTTAACTTTTTTCGAATGCCTCGCGCATATCGATCAAGATCGCAGATGGTGAGGATGCATGGACTCACCTTTGACCGCCCTTTCAATGGGCTCCTCCGTGTGGAGAATATTTTTCTGGATGAGCTCGAGCGGTCCAGGTCGATGACTTAGCTGGTCGTTCAGTTGGTCGGCTAGCCTGGCCTTCTTCAGCATACGCTGCCTCTCCGCCAGGCTTGGATCCACGTGACCTACATCCTCGAGGATGTGCTGCCTGACCAGCTCCTCCCTGCCTGGTCTCTGCTGGATCTTCGCCTTCAGCAGATCCCCGGTCTTCGCCCGTTCCAGTTGCTTTCGTTGCTCGTGGAACGCTGGCGGTGTCTTCAGAGCTGAGAAACAACAGGACACTTTTATTTTCTAATCGTCGAATGCGATAGATTCATGGGGCTTGTGGAATCGTGAATAAAAGTGACTCCGTTTTGTATGCGAAAAACATTTCGATGGAAGTCAATGTTTGGAAAGTGTTGTACACTCTGATATAATGATCTCTCTGAGTTTTACATAATCATCACTCTGAAAATAGTGATTTTGAGAAGCCTCGATGCTTTTCAAATATGTTTAGGAATTTTTTTTCTAATTCCATCGATCGGTGACTGGAACGTCAAGTTTTTATTCGAATTAACAATTTACTTAGGCCTTCACTATGCATCTCCTCGCTGTAGTTATGAATTCTAATAAAATTTTATCAACCGGTAATGAAACCTTCAACGAAAAAAAATTCTTTATAAGTGATTATTTTACCCAACGACCTCAAAGTTTTATTTGCACAATATTTTCCATTCGAAAGAATTTATTCCGTCTAAGTACACACTGTCGTTTCTTCCCGAATATTCCGATCTCGGCCACGAAGAGTGTCGCCGCATCCTCCCCAGGTTCTCTGGAACGCGTCGATAGCAACCGGCGAAACAGAAAGTCGCGGGTAAAGGGCGCGATCTAATAAAAGAACGGACGAATGAAAAAGCACTCCTGAAGCTTTTAGGGTGTCCTCCGGACGGCATACTGCACGCATCAATTTCCGGGATGATGGCCCTCAAAGGTCTCCCACTCCTCCCTCTCCGCCCGCACGGCCGCCATTTTGGTGTCAGCGTCAAACGTGGCTGCTCTCCCGCATTCCTCAACACCATTAAGTCCCCGAATAAATGATCCCCGAAGCGTTTTCACCACGGTCGAGTCCGCGTCGAGCCGCCACTATTTCCGGACGAGACGGTGGCGGCCGTTTCATTACACGGAATAAAAGGCTTGCACCACCTACGGCGCGACGTGGTAACGGAAATGTGGAAACGGGCTCGAATCCCGTCTTCCCCCCCCCCCAAACCCTCGACATACCTAATAAATTCCATCTTACTTTAATTTCGACCGTGTTTTCACCGCGACGACGTAACTCCGCGCGACAACGCGCGTTCCTCTCGGACGATATTTTCGCGCCAACGCTTTATGAGGAAGTCCGAGGCTTTCGGGGAGCGTTTCACGCGTGCTCGGGGCGACGTGGCCCGACAGAAATCACGGTTTATGAAGCTCGTAACGGGGCTAGATTGTAAGAACCCGGGGACATTTCCGCAATGATTATGCAATATATGGAACAATGTGTATTGCTGGTTGAATTTATCGGCGTGATTTTTCGAATGTTTGGAAGACAGTTATTTGTGATTCATCAGTGTCTTTTGGATTAATCAGTGTCCTCGTAATTCACGCATGAACACACGATGATTTTCCGACCGGTTGTTTAGGGATACAGTGGTAACTTTAATACGTCGGCTGTCGGAGCTGATTTTAGTTGTATTTGCTCTGTGTATTCAGTCATAGTATGGTAACAAAAGTTTATCTTCTTTAGAGGAAGTGAACCGAATATGTAAATTCTAAAATCATCTGATTTTAATGAAAAAACAAACATTTCTAAAGGTGCGTATCCACTTGTCGCGTGTGGTGATACGATACGAGGATACGCAACAAATGGATACGCACCTTAGTGTGCTACGTAACGGTAAAAACAACTTGTTGGATACTATAATTTTCGAATCGTCAGAGTACAGTAACTCTTCGATCAACGCTTGAAACTCGCGACCGCTTTCGAGCAGTTATCGCAGAGGGACACGATTTCTACACTTCACGAATCTCCACTTCATGAACTGCATTTCGGGCCGAGCTTCCTGTGTGGAAACCTCCAGTAGTAAAGATGTCGCGAAAGTATTTAACGTAGAAATCCTTCCGAGCAGTTATCGAGACTTTACCGATTAAAGCATAAATTTACAAGAAAAAGGGAAACATCCTTATTTCCTTCCCTTATCCCCACGTAGTCTCCTTATTTCCTATTCGACATCCTAGTCAGACGGACATCTTCATTTTCATCCACAAAATATTCCATTCACCACCCCCTATCCATCTTACTCGCGTCGAACCTAAACCTTCTCCGGCATACAACGAAGAAAACCGTTCGCCTAAACGTTCCCTGAATCCACCATCGACGGCCGATCCATCCATCGCGGGCGCAGAGCTCGTAATGGCGCGCGGAGGCAGAATATGGGGTTACCTGCCGAACGCTCGTTAACGGTAAAGCGACCACGGAACGTCGAATTTCAACGAGCACCAATGGAAAGATAGAGAGAGGAGCAAGCCCCGGTGAACGTTCGCCGGCGTAGGAAATTCTAAAATTACACCGTCCGCGATTCGATTCAATTAGGCTTCCTTTCCAACACATCCCTCCTAGTAGTGGCTCTCGCGGGCAGCTTTTGTCTCTCACCCACGCGCGTGTATCTCGCCCAGAGACGCAAACGTGTCGTATATATATCGCGAGCTGCCGTTCGTCGCGTGTATGTGTTTCGCGCGAGCCAGCTGTGACCTAATTGTCTAGTTTTCTATCGAAACGCGTATAAATCACCGGCCGACGATGGACGCGAGCGGCGGTTGCCACGGGAGTCCCAGTATTCCAGCGACGGAACGATCATAAAAATAAATGATGCCTATATCCAGCACGGGGACGCGGTGGATTTCGTGCGATAAATTCATGACGAACGCACACACATACACGGACGTTCCACTACTTTGTGCCGGGGTTTATTGCGTTTGTACGCGCGACGAACCGTCGGCCAGTGGACTCTAACTATATTGCCATGGTCGGGGCTGTAGAGGAGTAAAATGGCACTGATTTCAGAGCCCCCTCCATGCTAGGTTCTATCGTCATAGGCTCTGCCTCAGCGCCTGCGCAACAGCTGGATCGTGCTAGTGCGCCGGCGCACGGAACGTGGTGGGAGAGCGAATTCGTGTGCTCGAAAGGACGTGTGAAGGGGAAGGCCTCGCGTGGCAATATGCTTAGTGGCAATATAGTCAGAGTACACTGTATTATATTCGACGGTGTATCCGAGGATTTCGAGTTTTCGGTCGGAACCACGATCGGTTAACCCGACGATGTTTACGCGGAATCGAGCAGGCAATTACCCGTCAGGCCCCGCGCGTGAAACTCGACTCGATTTTCATACAAATGGGAATCAAGGTGTTTCGGTGAAAGCGAGCGGAGTTGCATCGGTTTCCTGGATGTCTTGTTTTTTTCGGGCCTTGGAAAGCGCTCTGTGGGTTTGGATAGGTGACTGGAACATTTTTAGGAAGTGAACCATGGGGTAGAGGACCCAAATTTAATCCCCCTCGTTAATTGTAGAAATGTGGTTTACAAAAGAAGTTTACTCAATTTCGTCACCCCTAGTTCTAATGTATGTAGTATGTGTCAAGTGTATAAAAAAATACTGCTATGCTTTATTCATCGCTATAAGTACAAGCCAACACAGTTTCGCAACTGCAAAGATCCGCAGATTTGCATAAACAAATAGGCGACTGAATAGCCGGAAAAATTGGGAACAATAGTAGGTGTGGCCACCCGACAGCCAAGTTGATTCCAGACAAATTGCAGTACACTTCCCATATACATAGGACTTTAGTATCGTCCCCGGTTTTCTTAAACAGTCCTCGTTAAAAACACAGTGGATCGTGCAATCAACCAACGAAATTCAGCTTCAAATGGACGTGAAACGATTTCCAAGGTGGTCCAACGGATTCTGAAACGTCCAACTTCATTACACCCGGCGTGCAAACGGTCTTCTTCAAGGCGAATTACCCAATCAAAAGAGAAACTACTGAAACACTCCTGTGTAGCGTCGTCGTCGTCGTTTGCGGCGCGCAATCAACAAAAACAATCGTGTTTTATGGCGAACCCGTGGCATTCCGATTGTCCGGTTCGATCGAGACAGGCCTGCGCTAGGAGCTACGAGAAGACTTCTCTAAATCATTCGCAATCTGTGAACGAGGACAGTTCGTCGTAACCAAGGGATCGCAATTTTTCGATTTACGATCCATCGAATCGACCCCTCCCCCCTCGATCGTTGTTGCGGGACTCGAAGACGAAACGTGGCGGTGGCACCTCGTTAGCCCGGCGACGATAAACGTCGCGGTTCGTTGGAATACGATCAAGTTCGCGTCGGATGAAACGGCTGTCACGCGGTTTATAGGCGACGATCGACAAGCCCGCGGAAAAACGCCCGACTATTTATACCTGATGGTGGAGGGGGAGACGCGTGCTGCCTGTTAAACGTTGGATTTAGCTTCCTTTATCCTCCATAACGTCTCTTTGTGCACGGTTCTTCGGGATATTTCATTCCGGTGACGCGTGGGCGAGATCGGTATTGTATAATAGGCCGGAAAATTTCGACGGTTACGCAATCCTCACGCGGAGACTCGTCGAAGACCCCAGCGATGAAGAACACTGGGCAGCTGTCGATCGTTCAATTTTGCATTGTTCGATGTACAATCGGTCCGTAGATACGATTACACTTTGTGACGATTCGGTCGGCTGAAAGTTTATTCGTTTTCATTGTATTTGACGGATTGTAAATATTATTGCATTGTTGTTTGGAGGCTTTATGTCAGGGTTCTGCGCGTGAAACGAACCGATTGGGTGGATTTTTGCGTGTAGAGAAGAAATCGACTGGGAGCATTAGGTCACGGATTCATTTATGAAGCAATCGACTGGGAGTATAAAGCTACATCTCTACGCGACGAAATGGAATCGACGTTGCGTCCGAAAGGGATGAAAATAATTGTTCTTCTGACCTACTGGATCACTCCATTAACCATGGGTTACAAATTAAAGATCGAATGGAAGTCGTTTAATGCTTTTACAATTTACTTCATTAATACAGTAGAGCCTCCCGTATCCGTATTAATAGGGAGACAAAAGTGGTCGGATAAGGGAATTTTCGCATAATAGAACAATCACTTCCTTTTATATTGAACTTTATTCATTCAAGTGAAAATCACCAAAATTGACACCTCGTTTCGATATTTAAGGATCCCATATCTATTTACCCGCTAAATCGCGTAAGTTTTTCAACAAAAATAATTCTGAGGAATTACATTCTTCCTTAAAAAGTTTTCTACCTTTAAAAGTTCCAACGACAATTTCTTAACGTGTCCTGTGTTTCGATCCTAGAACTTCTTCGTTATCCAAGTCAAACTTTTTCCCTTCAAAGTGGAGACGCGACTTGAGTCTGAATCGAAAAGTATTCCCCGTTGATAACTCACTTCGATCTGGATAAACGAGTGGGTTAAAAGAGTCCGAGTAACGCGATCTGAAGAGCGAAATTAATCGCTGGCCGTAAACAGATTTACAGCATCATCGCCGTTGCCGCTTCCCCGAAAAAACCATTACACGCCTGGGTGCCGCGTGCGATATCTTCGGTGTCCAGGAAGCCGTAAATGAATGAATCCCGGTGGAATGAAAGTGTACGGGATGATTCGCATGAAAACGATCTCGAAAAGCCAACGGAATTACGGAGCGTATACTATTTCCGTCGGTCGATGTTATGCACGGGGCGGTGCTTTAATGACTGCGTCTAACTTTCGAGGGCGACTTTCAAACAGAAACAAACGAAAGATACTTATATTTAATAGTTGACCTGTTTCGGATCCTTATGTTGTGGATCTTCGACAGGATAACGTACGACTAGTCATCGTATACTTGATTCTTTGAGATAGGGTAAGGGGTCTGAATTTCATCGGTTATTTATAGTATTAAAAGTATAGTGAAATTATGTAAACTTACGTATATGATTCTTTTCGCTTCCAAGGGAAGGCACGGAAGTGTCCCCCTCCGATTTTTATGAAACTTCGAATGTTTGTTAAGCAGTGAAAAATAAGGGATACGAATTTTTTTTTTATCGGCTGTGATGCGATTTTAACACGTTGACTGCCACAGTGGAAAATTCCGTACGTAACCAAACACACTTCATTCCCCTTTTTATACGGTTATAAAATATAACCGTATAGTTAATAGAGGATGTTGATCTGGTATTAAATAATACAGAGATATTAATTTTACACAAAAATTTTGTAACAGTATTTAAATAACTCAGCCTCTTTGTAATGTTTCAAGTAGGAATTATCTCGTACTTGGCAGTCAACGTGTTAAGGGGTGAAACAACCCCTCGAAGTTTCGAACCGAAATTTTTTTCTTATAAACAAATTACATTTTGGACAATTTATTAGCACCATATTATTTTACATAAAAAACCGCAAACCTCGTCTATCAAAAGTTTTCATGTATCTCTGGTTTTCGAGATAGTACTTTCGGGTCAAAACTTCGAGGGGTGAATTCACCCTTTAAAGTCGCGTCTCAGCCGATAAAAAAAATACGTATCCCTTATTTTTGCCTGCTTAACAGACATACGAAGTTTCATCGAAATCGAAGGAGGCACACTTCCGTGCCTTCCCTTGTTAGATTATTGTCTTTGTTTTTATAGTGTGAAAGGGCAAGGTTCTAGATAAGTCCCTCAGGGGTTCGAAATTTGGGCCCCTTACCCTACCATTAACTAAAGGAAGTTACATTACAGATTGCGATAGAACACTCTGCTCGATATTCGATTGCCAAACACGTACGACAGTTCCGTGAGACTACCCAGATGCCGTCATCAGACCATCAATTTACTCGATTAATGCATATACAGTTCGTATCTCAATTACAAAGTCACCTGTCCTCAAGATTATTCCGTGAGTCCCGACAGAGCCGTGGTCAATTACCTCCGGTCCCGTTCCGAGAGAAGCTTTCCGAAATTAGGGAGAATTTTTGCGGGAGATTGGAGGGTGAAACCGACGGTGTTCCACCGAAAAACATGACACGTTATTACCAGCGCAATTAACCGCGCCCGTACACGCGATCGCTTCAATTTAAGGTACTTTAGGAAAGTCGCTCGACGATGCCCCGGTTGCTTCCTTTTGTACGCAACAGTTACTCGGCGGTAATCGCTGGTAATCGCCAGGTAATTAAGTTGTAAGTGGATTAATCGGCCGTGAACGCGGGAAAAAAACTGTCTTGTTCGCTGACGAACTCGTTAAATCTAACTCAGTGGAGTCACTTCAAGGTTACAGACATTTAACAACAAAATTTCGTAGCGAGGTAAAATAGTTTCTCTGGTATTAAGTTTCTATTGGCCACTAAATACCATCGGTAACGAAACTTTCGATGTTTTCATCGGGGTTTATCGGTGTCTCTAAACGCACCCCAACGAAGGAGGACGATTTTACACACGGAGGCCTAATTGAATTTACGTTCACCGTCGTTTAACGAGGCAACGTCGCGCTTCTGTTTCGAATCTCCGAGATCTTTACGAGCTACGCCTCGTCACTTTGTCTCGATCTTGTCTCGAGAGAGATGGGAGAATCGTTTACGGACGATGTCGGTTATCTTTCCAGTCTATTCCACGAAAAATCCCCGCCGTGTCGGACGATAAAGTAGCTTTCGTTTCCGCGATGGAGAGCGATAGGGTCACTGATGGAAGGCGAGACGTTCGGTGTCGAGGAGACTTTCGTGGGAGTTGTGTTCTATAAACTTTGCGACGTAAATTCTCGACCGATTTACCTGTATACTGTGCGTTGGTTAACTCGTTCGCGAAGGGATCTGATTCTGGCTCGACTGGAATATCGATTTTACTACCTTGTGCGAGGATCAAAAGAAAAGTCGAGGTTTGTTACACTGATTGAAAGACGAAGTCTCAGCGATATTAGGTAAGTTATAGAAGTTTCGCATACATCGAGTACTTTGTATGAACGTAATTCATTGAATCGCGAAACACTTGGAGTTTCACGAAACGATTTTCTTATAGGAAATCTGGCGAACTACTTGAAAATAATAAGGCAACTTACGTGGCATAATGCCTTGCGCGACCAGCTGGTTGATCGGCCGCCTCAGCATAAGCTTCACCTTCAGCGCTGCAACAGAAAAGTCAAGAGTTTCGTTAGGATTCGTTCGTTTTGCCAACAAACTAATACAACCTACTGAAACTACTTGGCAGATGCACTTACAAAAAATGAACAGATATCTCCATTCATAAGTGTCCTATTTAAGAATCTATAAACCATAACTTACATTAATATATTCTTATTTTCTTTCTGTTCTTCTATCTTTCATTCTTCATTTTTTTAATTTTAACTCTTCGAGGCATACGATTTTAAGGAAAATAAAAATCCTAGTTGCACAGAACTTTTTTTACTATAAAATAATTATATAAAAATAAAATATTGAACTCTATGACTATGAGTAACTTCAACTTTTCGAGGTGGGTTAATATATATCCCACCATGCATAAAAAGCTAAGCAAAACGTGGGACAGTTTTTAACCCACCTAAACCTAAAGAGTTAATCTTGATTATGATTAAATTTAATTTCATTACAATATGCTCTTTCTGTTGTTTGAATGTATATTGGTCGAATTTCCACCCGTTACGATAAATTATTATCATTAATAACAATAACACTCCCATCCCATCAAAACCAGAAATGAAATCTGCAACAGGAGGTGGGACAAGTATAACCTCCATTTCCCTCGAAAACAGACTGATCACACGAATCGTAACTCTGCACATTCGCAGAACACGTTTCGTGTCGGAACAATTCCCGCCGCCGTCGACGACAGCCGTCTGATATCACCCCGAGAACGTGGTGGCGGCGATGTTCTATAAAAAATCGCCACCGGGGACGATCAAAGTCTATCGTGGTCGGCGTGTGGGGCTTCGACTTTCTCGTCCGTACCCGATATTTTCTTTCCGCGTGCCGGATAAACTGTTCCATATGGCGGGGTCGAGCGACGAGGGAGAGAAACGGGGAAAGCGGAGGAGTGAAAAAAAAAAAAAAAAAGAAAACAGAGGAAGGGAGAACGAAAGAAGGAACTAAAAAAAAAAAAAAAAAGATGAAAACAGGACAGAAAACCGTCGAGTATCCCTTCTTTCCCTCGTTAATTGGACCACCGCTCGCGCGCGCGTGCGGCCACGCCGTTTTCTCGTTCTTTCGTGCGACGAAGGCAATTTTCAGGCCGATAATTAAAGAGCGCCGGCCCACTCTCGCAACTGAATAAATTACGAATACGGGTTTCGTTTTATTAGCCCACCACTGAGAGGAGAGGGACACAAGGTGAATCCGTGCAAACGATAGAGGCACAGGCCAGGATGTAACGGGATTTGCGTACCGTATTGTCGGAAGGGAGGCAACGGTCCTTCCTTCGTCGCTACCTGTATTTCTCCGGACAGGTATCCAAGGAGTGGCTCGCTCGCGGAACGGGGTCCCCTGCTGGTTCGGGGGAGACTCGAACCCGGTTGCTGTGAATTTTGTCAGATGAACGCGATTCTCAGGTACAGGAAAATAACGTCGTGGATGTGAAAAGTGGACAGTGATCATGGGAGTAATTATCGGTTTGTTATACTGCAACAATGACATAACTAACAATGTACAAAGTTTTTTTTAGTTATTAGTGTAGGAGCGTTGGAAAAATGAGGGCCCAAGCGGGATTCGAACTCACAGAATCTACCCCCACTGCTCCACGGAACCCTTCTATTTTCCAAAGATGTTATTTGCTCCTTTGTTGGGTATGGAGAGTTCCAGATCCCACACTCGGCCATCCTGCGCTGACATTCGCCCTCGAATGTCTTCTGCGCACGTCTTTTTCTCCTCGTCTTTTCGGTAAAACTCTCCCACTTTCCAACTTCTGGGAGACGTGCTGCTCCTCTTTCTTCGTCATCGTCATCGTAGATGCCCCCATCCCGGACGAGCCCCCAAATGTAGGAGCGTTAGAAAAATTGAGAGGGCCCAAGCGGGATTCGAACTCACGACCCCCAGCGCTGAAAGCAGAGACTCTACCCACTGCTCCACGGAACCCTCCCATTTCCCAAAGATGTTATTTGTTCCTTTGTTGGGTATAGAGTTCCCGATCCCACATTAATACAGAAAAAGTTGGCTACCCAAGCTTTCACCGATTCCACTGTCATTCTGAACAAGATCCAGGCTCAAGTACATAACCCTCGAAATCCTCTCGAGACCCAACTTTGCTCCGCGTATTCCTAATTAAAGGGAGGAGTAACAGATCGTGATTGGAGAATCGTAAGGAGGAAAGCGGTGTTGGATCGCGGGGTTCGTTCGCAGATCAAAGGTCGAGACGATGAGGACCACGGGGGACCGCGGCGCGTTCGTCCCCAGGCGGGATCGCGGGGGCCCAGGCTACAAATTAACACACAAAGGGCCCCCGGTTATAAATACGCGGAGTACGCGCGGGCCAGATTGCATAAATTGCCGGCGTAAGAGGAACAAAACCGCGGGCCCGGCCAACTGGGGGGGGGGGGACTCCTGGAGCTACCCGAGAGGGGGGATCCCTTGCGGCCAGTTTTTTCGTCGATCGAGAGCGAATGTGACTCCGCGATGTTTGTACTTGGCCGGTATAATCGACCGTTTACGGTCTCTACGTAGATCCATCCCGCCCCTTTTTTTTTTCCCGAGCGCGCGCTAAAACGAATGCGCGCCGCGTGCAGTCCTTTGGGGCTTCCAGCAAGGGTTGACCGTGTATGCAATCAAAGTTGAAAGTTTGGAAGTGGGATTTAATTTTCAGGATTTGCTTTTTAGGAATTTGTTTTGTGAACTTCAAACAGTATGGCTTCCAGTGGAGTTGTTGGAGGAACGCTAGTCCTCAGTAGATCACTTCTTGCACTTTTGTGATGAGTACTTAAAAGTAATTGTTCCCTTCATTTCTCACTGGCTATGTGTTTGTAGAAAATGAGAAGGAAGAATGCAAGAAGTTTAATTTTTTTTAATTGTATGCTTTTAATCCCTTGCCGTACTTTGACGAGTCTGACTCGTGATCAGAATTTCGGGCCAAATGTAAACATTGCGAGTCAGGCTCGTATGCAAAAGTTCGAACCAAACATGAATGTCACGTGTCGACCTCGTAATTTTGCAAACAGTCGCAAGATATCATTTGTTTCAAGTTGCGACAACACGTCTCCGCTGCTTCGGCTTCTTTCGCGAACATTTGTGGGCACCGCTTGGGCCCGAATTCCTCCGAGTTAAAAAGTACAGCAAGCGGTTAATAATAGATAACTTTTTAGATAACAAGTTTAAGGTGTTTGTTTTTCAGCACACGTAAAATATCCGCAAGAAGATCGTTTTATAAAAACGATAAATATCGCCTGTACATAAGTCTTCGAAAAATGGCCAGCGTAATAAATATTCTGCCATCACGATCTTAAGTTCGCAGGTCCCCTAATTAACAAATCAACGGTGATCTTCGACGATGCACAAATTTATGGTCGAGGAATGGCGGTGATTACGGCGAAAACGAACAACCGACTATCAACAGGGGGGAAAAAGGACCTTCGTCGAGGAGTAACCGCTCGAATCGCGATAATCCTATCGCCTAACGAGCATTCTTGATCGTATCCTCGTTATCGATCCTGACAATCACGCACGGAACGCGCGTAACTATGCGCGCGACTGCATATTTCTCCTGGTGGCCGAGAAATTCGAAGAGCGCGCGCATACCACGAAGTCTCGAAGTTTCTGTACCCAATTGAAAATTTCGCCAAAAAGTTATATGACATCCTGGGGAATTTCGTTTAGTTTCCTTTAGTAAACAACATGGCGAACGCTATTGACAGTTAGTTTTGACATTCTGGAAATTCTCCTCTTCGCAAAGAAATTGAAGATCATTCGAGTCATGGGAAATGTTTCCTGGAGAAGAGAGTATTAAAGTTCGACTACAATCTCATCAAGGGAAGGAAATTCGATCTTTTGATCTTATTTCCGTCGTAGGTGATACGTCGATTAATTAACGGACGTACGAGAAACAAGCGGACCTGGCTTTCTCATCGCGCACCTACGGTCGAGAGATGAAACGCGATACCGAATTAGAAACAACTGTGCCCATATAACGATACAAGAAACGTTGGCTCAGTATTTGGCGCTGTGTATTTTGGCACTTGGCGGTCTAGTAGCCGTTTTGGTCGTTACCATTTGTCTTCTGTGGACCATGATACCTTTCAGGCACGTCCCAGTTCCTCGTTTTCCCGTACATCGTTCTTTTTTTCTTCCCGCCGATCCCCTGCCGATCCGACAAATTATTTATAGACACAGACTCTCGCCTCTCATTCGAAACTTCATTGGTCTTACTCTATCAGAGAATTTAACTAAAATTAAATAGAACAATTCATGTAACTAGTCTAATTAACCCTCATAGACACCTCTGATCCTAAATCATCGAACATAAACTTGATATTCCTCCACTAGTACCCTAACAAGAATTCTAAATCGTCCGTTCAATTTACGTAACTACAAAAGCGTTCGAATACAAAATACAAGGTTGAGAATTTCTCGAAGACAAAACTGCTCGACCTAACCAGAGGACTATCCGACATATCCCTCTTCGACGGACCACGCCTTTCGGTCCCTGGAGTCGACGAATCGATGAAATATCGCAAAAGGTCATCGAAAGTCAGAACGCAAACGGGGTAACGTAACCTATACGCGATGCACCAGGTAAGAAGACGGACGTTAACGAGCAGATGGACGAGGCGGAGGTGGACGTCCACACGGCGAACCGATATCCTGGACGAAACGACAGGACCGCGGCTCTTCCAGCTCGGCGCGCACGTGCATAGCTGTCCCATGTACCCGGTGGCCCGACAGCTCGCGACTCCTCGGCTCGTGGCATGCGGATTCCAGCCGTGTTTCGCATTTCTCGGAGATTTCATTGTTGCCCATACGGACATACTCTTTTTGCGACGGCTCTTCCGGAAGAGAAATACTCGAGACTACGTGGGTGTCGGAAGAGACGTTTATCGACTATCATTTTATCGCTACCGTTATATCGGGTGTTAGTAAGAATGTGGAATGCTTTCATACAGGGTGGATTGTATGTGGAAAATTAGGATGGCAATCAAGAATTATAAAA